AGCTGATGAGCTATTTAGAGCTCACCAGAGACCTTGGGGCTCTATAAGTCTCCAAGATGATACCTCTTTTAAATCTTCAGAGGTCATTAATGCCAAGGCAAGAGAGTCAATACATTTGATATGTTCTCATCAAAGCAAGACAAAAAGGAAAAGAGGGAAGGAAGGTGGGTGAAAACTCATAAGAAATTTGAAACTTTTACATGTAACAAAATCATCGGGGGGCACTTGTTAAAACACAGATTCTGACCAACACTGGCTAACACTCACAGCTGATGATGGGTGTAGACAAATTTAAGGCCTCCAGTCCTTCACCAAACACACGTACACACACATGAACACCCACATACACTCCTATACAAAATAATTTAGATACATACATAGGAAAATTAGTCGTTTAAGCCCCTACATACAACTTCTTCACCAAGATCCCTTTCACAGTTTTCAGACCTATTAATGAACAACTTTATGAACCTAAAAGCAAATTCAAAGCATTATTCCATTTTTTTGGTACCATTTCCCCATATGACTTTGGAAAATCTACAGAGATTCTTGACTGAGGAGCTGGTTATTCAAGTTGGAAGAAATCTTAAGGCTGAGCTTGGAGGAGCAGCATCGCTAGGAGACAGTTCTGCAGGTTCCATCCATTAGGTGATTTCACCTTCACTCCCTGATTTCACATAATAGCTGGGGAGGAGGGAAAATGATAGGCAACAAAGATCAGCAAACGACAGAACAACTCAGACATCCTGGCTTCCCACTCTTCAGCCTGGAATGTCACAGCTGTTTCTGACCTAACAGTAACTCTGAACAGAGCTGCCAACACCAGCATGGGTCCCCTCTGCTGGGTTCTCTAGTTCACAAATTAGCTGCCTCAACTAGTCCCTATGGTACTACACTGAACAATGGACAACAGTCTCTCTGCAAACTTCCGCCCCACTGTCTCCTCAGTCTTTCCCTCTCTGCTGATGTCTTCTCTCTCTGAGCTTCCCCCAGCACTCACAGTTTCATTTGCCTGTTTCATATACATCTTGTGTATCGTGACGACTCTGACCTCGCTGTGGAAAGTGCTTCAGGCAAGCCCTGTGCAATGTGCGCACCATACCAGGCACACATTATTAGATCTTCAGAACCTGGATTGATTTAGGCATGGTTCCCAAAGCCAGCCCTCATTCCAGCAAAATAAAATAAGCACTGGGGGATTATTAAAGGGTGTGGTAGGTACTCCCTGTGCCAACCAGCACACACTGTCCCAGGGGACTCCGTGATACCCTGGGCACTCTCCACTGCTGGAATAGGAACTGGCTGAGGACACAGGGCACGATGGCACACCAAGAGACAGAATCCTGGGTATGCCACGTCATCGCCCCACTCCAATCAAACACCAAATGGGCTTAGACCAGCCCTCTCAGGCCACCAAGATTAGTGCTGTTCTGACACATTATCTGGCAGTGACCAGTTTTCATCTGGAATCCATTCCCTCACCTCCCAAACTAAATTCTCAGTCCTGGGATTTCTAAGCGACAAGAACGCAAGACCGGTGTGGAGAACTGACAGAATCATCAGCTACATTGCTACATATACACACTGGGCAAAATAGAAATCAGTGGTCATTATCAAGCCTGGAGAAATCCTGGCTTTTAAAATCTGCCTATCTCAGTAACAGTTTCTCCATCGCAGTTCAGTTTTCTGAGATGGGTCTGTGACACTTTTTAATTTTTTTTACTGGGAAATATACCATGCAAACAAAAGAATATATTAAATATATATTCAGTTGAAAGAAGAACAATAAGATAAATACGCAAGGACTCACCACCCAGGCTAAGAGGTAACATTCCCAGTACCTAGATGTTTCTGTGTGCTTTTCCCTCATTGTACCCATGTCCACATCCCCAATGACAACCATCCTCCTGAACTCAGGGCTAATTATTCCCTCCATTTTTTATAATTTTACTACCTGTGAAGGTATTCATAAAAAACATGTATGACTTAATTTTATATATTTTTAACTTTACATACATTACATCATACTATATATTTTTTCTGTGACCACTTCTCTCGTTCAAAGTTATGTTCCCAAGATTCAACTATATTAATGTAACTATTTAGCACCCATTTTTACTATGGGACAGTACTGCATTATAGATCTATACAATAATTTATGATGTTCACTCTATCTTTAATCAACCAAACCCATGTACTAATATGGTCTGTCTGCAAATAAATTTACGCCACGTGAATTCTTGGTGACAAACCCATGCTGGTCTCCATGTGGCAGACCAGATGATAAAATAACTAGAGCTGTTTCACTCAATTACTCTTAAAGAGTGGGCAAGATCTCACTGAGAGATGGAGCTCTGAGGCCTTTATCGGCAAGCAAAGGTGCCTTTGCTAGATGAACTTGGGTAGAGGAACCCCTAAGATAAAACCCTTACACAGTTCCAGCTCCATGGCTTGAAAAGGCAGGGGGAAAGGAAAGAAAAGGCTGCTTTGACAATGCAATCTTCACCTACACAGCACGTCAGAGCACCTTTGATCATGGTGAATAGCACCCAAGTCCAAGAAAAACCTACCCTTCAGAGAGTGAAAGCTAAATATTTAGTTTGGGAGGCAGCAGACAGAAGCCCATCACTCTCTCTGCTGCGGCGAACCAAGGACAGCAAAGGATTATCCTTGAGCCCTGAAGGTTTGATTCATCACCCTTATAACTGATGGGAATGCGTCAGCAATGCCACACTTTCCAGGTTGTGGGAAGGGGTGCAACAGTCTCCAGAGCAAAGAAACCCCCACCACTTTCACTGAGCTCTCCCAGTGTGCAAGGCCCTCAGACTGACACACCTCATCTCAGTTAACTCCTACAATGACCCTATGAGGCCGGTAATATCCCCACTTCACACCTGAAAAAAACTGATACACCAAGAGGTTTAGTGACTTGTCCAATACCACGTAGAAAGTTGTACTGGGAGCACTCTCATCCACCTGCGTGTGCACACTGCCCACCAGTGATGGGGAAAGGGTTCTTAGGGACACAGAAGATACTGCCTTCAGGTGATACTTCCAAAAGCGTTTGCTGCTGAATAGTAGCAGGTTCCATGTGAGCACAGAATAAATACTTAGATGGCTGAGGCCTGTGAAAACTCAGAGGCCATGCGTGGAAAAGGCTGTCATAGCTTGGCAGACGAAGGAGGACTCCCATGCGCTTTAAAAGAGCTGGAAAGCACCTTGCCCACCAATAATTAACAAGCAGTGAATGTCTCTACCACATGTCATGGCAAAATGCATCCAAGTTTTGTTGAAGTCTGGCTGCTGTTTTCACAGCCAACAATCCTCAACACAAACAACAACAAAGAAGGGCTATCGGGATACAGAATATGAATTTCAGGGTCTAACAACAACAGAACTTCAGAGAGCAATAAATAGGTCAAGAACCTAAGTCTACACTTGTTAAGAGCTGGACTCTGCCTTCCAGCTCCAAATAAGTGTATCAGTTGTTTGACACAAATTTTCCAAGTCAGCTAAAAGGCCAAAGAGGTGGTCACCAGTGCCAGAGCTAAGAAGGCATCATCTCAGAAAGTGAAATGCTGAGCTGTGCTCTCTGCCAGCTACTTGTCACTGAAGAGATTCTGTTTTCTCTAGTTCTGGGTGCCCATCATTCCTTGGTGGACATAAATTTGCCAGTTATGTTGTCAGTCCTTAACACTGTGAGATTTGACTATTTATCCCAACCTGTAAGCCACCTAGCAAGTTACAGAAATGGGAACTGATCTTTAGAGTGTGGGGTAACACCTCTGCAGACACTTGGAGAAAAGAAGACAGGGAAACGGCACCTCGGCTTCTAACAACATTATAGACTAAAGACCCAAACACCTGACCCTCTCTTGCTCCCAAAACCTGCCAAGCACTGACACCTCACAAATCCTCAAAACAACCGAGTCCAGAGAGGATGATGGTTATCCTCAGAGGAATTTTTCCAGATGCTGTGGACATTGGCTGAAATCATATGGTTTCTCCAAGCATTTTTCCCCACGCCCTGGGACTTGTTTGGGAAAGTTTTACCAGTTATTCCCCTACTTTCTACAGAGTAACAAAGATTTACAAATCTTTGCAAAGAAGAATCATATGATTCTTCTCCTTAAAATGTCTGGGAAGCCCTGGCCAGTTTGGCTCAGCGGTTAGAGTGTCGGCCTGCGGTCCGGGGAGACCCGGGTTCGGTTCCCGCTAAGGGCATATGCCTTGGTTGCAGTTTGTCCCTGGCCCTGGTTGGGTCATGTGGGTGGCAACCACTCAATGTGTCCCTTTCACGTCAATCTTTTTCTCTCTCTCTCTCTCCCTCCCACTGTATCTGAACAAAAAAAAGGGGAGGGAAATGTCCTCGGGTGAGGATTAAAAAAAAAAAAAAAGTCTGGGGAAATTTTACTTGTAATAAACAATAAAAACAGGTTCCCGACCCCTTCCCAATCTCCCTAATATACTTAAAACTAGTCTCCTACCTAGGAATTCAGTTGTCGTAAAAATAAGGTTGCATCATCCACACAGGTGTAAGATGGGAATGTCAGTAAATAAAATTAAGTCATCCACAATACACATAACAAGTATAATATAACTCAGACTCAAGGCACAGAGGTCTTAACCAAGCCCCAAGCAGAAACAGGCAGAGCAGCATCACACACAAAGCAGCTCTCCTCTAAGCACTTCTGTTAATCCTGGGTGGGGAACTACAGCCACCACACCTGAAGTATGAAAAGCAGTCAAGTTCTGTTTGCCGGTTCCTCTTGTCCAAATAACCAACTTAGCCAGTTCCACTCTTTGACAAGCAACCCCTGACCCTTCCAAGAATCCTGAGTTTCTACTCCCCTCTGGGCCTCTTTAAGACATGGAGTCAGTTATAAGCTCTCCAGAAATGTCTACCACTTTCTAACATAAATCATTCCTTGCCACTTGCTAGTGTGTTTTCAAAGGCTCTAAGCATCTTCCAGGCTCCTCATCATCCACAGGGGTCTTACCGGGATCTCCCTCCAAAGCAGTTTGTGCTGGGGGACTGGGGCCGATTCTCTGGGGTGACAGCTGTCCCACTGGAGTCTCTTGAAGGTGGCTGTGATCCTAGAAAGGGGATTCATCATAAGAAAAGAGAAAAACGTTGAGAAGCTCAACCCTTGCTTGAGATGTGGCTACAGGAACAGAGCTCACCTGTGTATGAGAGCTAACCACCACAGGGGGCCACAGGTAGTCAGCCAAGCCACAGCCACCAGTGTGAGAAGGAACAGGGGCAGCCAGGTGAGATCTGATCAGGGCCATGACAGAGGGGCTCAAACCTGGGAAACACCTCTTCTTCTCCAAGACCTTCAAGGATGTCTAAGGCACTTACAAGCATGTGGCCTTACACACTTCTGCCATCCACGTGAGACAGAGAACAGAGGCTGACAGTGCAGAGTGGGGCAAGGTATTAGGACATTTCTCCATGTCACAACCAGAGAGCTTATAAAAAGCCAAATCAGCCCTGCCCGGTTTGGCTCAGCGATTAGAGCGTCAGACTGCAGTCCAGAGAGATCCGGGTTCGGTTCCCGCTAAAAGCATGTACCTCGGTTGCCGTTTGACCCCAGCCCTGGTTGGGGTCGTGCGGGTGGCAACCAGTCAATGTGTCTCTTTCATGTCAATGTTTCTCTCTCTCTCTTCCTCTCTCTCTCCCTCCCACTCTATCTGAACAAAAAATGGAAAGGTGTCCTCGGTTGAGGATAAAAATAAAAAATAAAAATAAATAAAAAATATATTTTTTAAAGCCAAATCTGATTCAATTAAAAATCAAATCATGGCCCTGGCCAGTTTGGCTCAGCGGTTAGAGCGTCGGCCTGCGGTCCAGAGAGACCCGGGTTCGGTTCCCGCTAAGGGCACGTACTTCGGTTGCAGTTTGTCCCCGGCCCTGGTTGGTCGTGCGGGTGGCAGCCACTCGATGTGTCCCTTCATGTCGATGTTTCTCTCTCTCTCTCCCTTCCTCTCTCTCCCTCCCACTCTATCTGTACAAAAAAAATGGAAAAATATCCTCAGGTGAGGATAAAAAAAAAAATCAAATCATGCCCTGGCCAGTTTGGCTCAGCAGTTAGAGCATCAGCCTGCGGTCCACAGAGACCCAGGTTCAGTTCCCACTAAGGGCATGTACCTCAGTTGCAGTTTGTCCCGGCCCTGGTTGGGTCGTGAGGGAGGCAGCCACTCGATGTGTCCCTTTCATGTTGATGTTTCTCTCTCTTTCTCTCTCTCTTCTTCTCCCTCCCTCCCTCCCACTCTATCTGAACAAAAAATGGAAAAATGGTCCAGCCAGTGTGGGTCACTGGTTGGGCATTGACCCATGTACCAAGAGGTTGCCAGTTTGATTCCCAGTTGCGACACATGCCCGGGCTGTGGGCCAGATCCCCACTGGGGAGCATGCAGGAGGTGGCCAATCGATGTTCTCTCTCATCGATATTTCTATCTCACTTCCTCTCTTTCTAAAATCAATAAAGGAAAAAAAATGTTTTTAAAAAAATGGAAAAATGTCCTCGGGTGAGGATAAAAAAAAAAAAATCAAATCATGATACTCTTCTGCTAAAAGCCTTTCAACAGCTTCCTCCTTCTTAAGATGAGATTCAAGTTGGCAGCAATCTTCTACTTGGCACCATGGCTGCCCTCAGACCCCTTGTGAAACCCAAGATTGTCAAAAAGAGGACCAAGAAATTCATCCGGCACCAGTCAGACCGATATGTCAAAATTAAGCGGAACTGGCGAAAACCTAGAGGTACTGACAATAGGGTTCACAGAAGATTCAAGGGCCAGATCTTGATGCCCAACATTGGTTATGGGAGCAACAAGAAAACAAAACACATGCTGCCCAGTGGCTTTTGTAAGTTTCTAGTCCACAATGTCAAGGAGCTTGAAGTGCTGCTGATGTGCAACAAATCTTACTGTGCTGAGATTGCTCACAACGTCTCCTCAAAGAACCGCAAAGCCATTGTGGAAAGAGCAGCCCAGCTGGCCATCAGAGTCACCAATCCCAATGCCAGGCTGCGCAGCGAAGAAAATGAATAGACAGACTGTGTACACATTGTATTTGTGTTAATAAAACCATAAAATTCTGCCAAAAAAAAAGATGGGTTCAAATCCTCACCAAGGCTTTCGAGGCTGTGTGATCTGAGCCGATCTGCCTCTGCGGCCTCACCTCCCACCCCTCTCCTTGCTCCCCACGATCCAGCCACTGTGGCCACCTCTGTTCCCACCACAGGCCAAGCTCACTCCCACTTCAGAGCCTTTGCATATGGGACCCCTCTACCTCTGACTCAGCCACCCCTTTACTCACACCCCCTCTGCGGCCTGTCTAAACTCTTCATACTCCAGTAGGTCTCAACTTCCTCAGAGGAACTTTCCCTGCCCCTCATCCCAATTTACATGAGATTCCCTAAAGTATGATAATCTCACACAACCCACTACCTTCCCTTCACAGCTTTTGTCACAATTACAGCTACACAATTATTTGTGTTTACTCGTTTGACGTCTAGTATCCCTTGCTCCCACCAAGTAAATTATAAGCTCCTGGGAGGAGACACCAAGCGAGTTTTGCCCCAGGCATCTGGCTAGCACCTGGCCCAAGATGGAGCACATACTAGTTGTTCAATTATCTATATATGTGCTGTTTTTCTCCAAGCACCAGTCAGGCCAGTTGAGGGAGGATTCTCAAGTCAAGGTCCAACCATTCACCAAGTACCCTTGAATAACAGGTCATATTTCACCCATTGAAACTATAGAAAGCCTGTTTCAAGCCTGGAAAGTACCTTAATTACATCACATTTAACGAGAAAAACTATAGCGAAAACCAACCCATCTCTGACTTCATAAATAATTTCTGCTAGATCCAAAGGTGACTAATTCAGACTTAGATAACAAAACAAAAAAACAACGGCCTCCATTCAGGGCAGAGCGGGAAACACTGTTCAGATTCCCTGCTTCTGCCTGTGTCTTGCTAGTATGAATGTATAAGACACAGCATGCCCTTTCCCAACCAATACCACCTCATGAAAGACACCCTCAAGCTCCCCAGGAAGGTTAAGTGTATTGGGATGAAGAAAAATGGGCCCAAGTAACATTTAATAAAGACATTTTAGCCCTGGCCAGCTTTGCTCACCGGTTAGAGCATCGACCTGCGGTCCAGAGAGACCCAGGTTCGGTTCCCGCTAAGGGCACGTACCTCGGTTGTGGTTTGTCCCCAACCCTGGTTTGGTTGTGTGGGTGGCAACCACTCGATGTGTCCCTTTCACGTCAATGTTTCTCTCTCTCTCTCCCTCCCACTCTATCTGAACAAAATACCAAAGAAAAGAAAAAAAAAAAAGACATTTTATTTTCCAAAGCCCATGTGGGATGAAAAGATGTTTTTCTTTCCTCTCAAACCAAACAATACACTTACAAACACTTGAAATATATTTTTGTCCTTTATAAAATCATGTCATGATTTTTATCAGTATATGATCAGGATGCTAAAAAGAATCAGGGCTAGCTATGGGCCAGGGCTAGTTGAGTCATACCCAAACCCAGGGACCTGGTAGAGAACCAAACTCTGGGCACCTCCCTTCCCCCCTCCGGGGAGCAGGGCAGCACTCACCGTCTGTCACAGCACTGCCATTAGGCACGCTTCCCAGATCAACAGTCGGCCCGTCCAGGAAAATTGTCAGCTCACCGCCTGAGACAACACCGCCTTTGTTCTCCGTCTGCAGGTTCAGGGTCAGCTGTGTGTTCTCCACTGTTGGACACAAAAGGCAACATGGATGGAAGAAAGAAAATGCACCCGAAGTTAAGATTCTGTAAGTTAGAAGCTCCCACTTCGCCTACTCTGGCTCTTGTGGCAACATTTTTCTGCATCTTCAAATCTGTTTTGTGGCATAGAAAAAAGAATGGGAAGGAACAGGTCTAATAGTCATTAGTTGTATGAGGCTGGTGGGGAAGTCTGTACTCTTTCTTTTCTAGACATTTTAGATTATTGGTTCACTACATAATTTCTACACTACTTATTTGTTTGTTTATACTTGCAGGTCTATAAGAAAAAGAGAGAGATACTTAAGGCATATAGAGGAAGAAAGTCGTTCTTTCAAGCAGCACCCCCCCCCCCCCCCACACACACACACACCCATATAAAGAACAGTGGCAAAAAGAAAAGAAACAGGTCAGGTGACCCTGAGGAAATGTCATCAGGAGTCATCTCTACATGAACAATTTCAGGGGCTTATTCTTTTCTTATTTGTGTTAAAGGTATTGTTGTTTTTTATTTTCAACACTGAAAATGTTTCACTTTGAAATAACAAAAAGTTTTTAAACAATATAAGTTCATTACAAGCAAGTCAGTCAGCCCCACGGTCACAGGACCCTGAGCTAGTCCCGGAAGGAGGCCCAGCAGACACCTGGCTCTGTGACTGAGTGGGAAGGCAGCTCAGGTCCACACTGTCCTCAGGACACTGGGGAGAACAAGAAGAGCTGGGAAACCACAGCAGGAAAACAAAACAAACTGGCATAAGGCAGAAGCCCCTGACCCCAGGTGGGCTGGAAACTGCTACACACACCCCAACCCCCACTACCAAACTTGGCCACACTGAATAGCTTCCATCCAGTTACTGCTCAGGGCCGTTCAACAATTACCAAGAGAGCAATGATTCTGAGGATTTCCACGGGGTGTACAGTCCTTCCATGCCTTTCCCACATCTTACAAAGCCAGACTATGAAAACGCCACATACTACAACCTCCCTCCCCACCCACCACTTAATTTTATCTCTTAGTTGCTACTGTATTATTATAAGCCATCTCATTGGTTTTCCAGAACAAGGCAGGGTATGTAAAAATAAGTATCTCCATGAGCACTTCCTAGAAACACCTCCCCCGACTAAAAGGCCTACTCCAAATCTCTCTAAGAAACAGACACAGCCCTTTAAGAACTTAGCAAAACAAGTCTGGATCAATTCAAGGATCTATGATAACAAAGTAGAAACAAGTTATCCTTCAGGTTTTCAAGTTCTCCTAGCATCTCTTCCTTTCCTTAACCTCTCTTCCCTGTGATGGATCTCTCCAAATCTTTCTGAGTCCATTGCTATTTTCAGTCAGTTTCACTAAGGCGTTTGGTGAGTTACAAAGATTTCCATAAAATAACAATTGTAATGTGAAAACAAGTTCCTTCAGAAGTCTAGGAGTGTGTGTGTTGGGGGGGGGGGGGGGGGCTGAGGCCTTATAACCACCACCACCACTCTCCAACCAGGCAAATGAGCCATCCTGGGAGTAATGCCCCCAGCCCCGGTCTAGCCTTCAGATGTCTGCAGCCCAGCCAACAAATCAATTGCAACTTCATGAGAGACCCCAGGCCAGACTCCCAGCTAAAGCCACTCCCAAATCCTGATCCACCAAAACCATGAGATAATAAGTGTTTATCACTGTTTACAAAAAAAAAAAAAAGTCAAGGAATGTCTCCCTACTCAACTATTCTGAGATCCTGAGCCTAAGCCCCCAGCAGGGAGTACAGCACAGAGGTGGAGGGCAGGTGCCAGCCAGGTAGACTGGGTTCAATCTCAGTTCTACTACCTAGTAGCTGTGCAGCATCACACAAATTACTTAATGTGACCATCGGTCGCCTTATGTAACAGAGCAGCAAGAGCACATTTTTCAGAGGACATTTGCAAAGAATAAAACAGTGCCCAGTAAGTTGCTAATAAGCTGTCATTTTTTATTATCTCCCTGTTGACTTTCTTGTTTTTAGGCTGAACAGTTCTGATTTCTCATGGTCTAACTTATTCATTGTATAATCAGTCACTCTTCTTTTGACCTTTCCGAGCCTTTTTCAGGTTCAGGCAACAAACTCCACAAATTCTTCCAAGGAAAGCCACATAAGCACCATGGGGATGAACCATTATATATTTTAGGTCAGAGGTTAGCTTGCATCACTTGGAGACAAGTTTGACGTTCAAAAAGAGCCAGTAGTGGTGGGGAGGTCTTTCTTCTTTACATAAAACGTTTGAGACCATAACTCTCCACTGTTCTATTTACTAAAAAGGGAATCAGAGAGACCTCTGACTTCCAGATCAAACTGAGTGTCACTGGGAGCGAGACGACCCGACCCCCATACTTCCTGGTGTGCTGCCCTGGAAGTACACACCACCTTTAAAGTCTTCTTGCCTAAAGCATTTGGCCTGAACCCAACCAAGGCTCCAACCTCCTCCTTAGTACATCAAATTAGGGGACAGAGAAACAAATTCAATTATACCATTTGGAAGCCAACAGACAGATCCAGAATATGGGACATCTGGACAGTAATTATCCCGATGTCTTCAAAAATTCAATTTATAAAATGTTTCTTTTTGTTTTTTTAAGAAATAGGTTGGGGTAGGGGGTGAGAAAGAGATTCTTCTAGATTTTTTTTTTTCCTCACCTAAGGACATTTTTCCATTCTTTGTTCAGGTAGAGTGGGAGGGAGAGAAAGAGAGAAACATCGACGCGAAAGGGACACATCAAGTGGCTGCCACCCACACGACCAACCAGGGCCGGGGACAAACTGCAACCGAGATACGCGCCCCCAGCGGGAACCGAACCCGGGTCTCTCTGGACCACAGGCCGACGCTCTAACCACTGAGCCAAACTGGCCAGGGCGAGATTCTTCTAGATTTAAAGAAATATAACCTGAATGCAATGCGTGAATTCTGACTAACCCCTGGCTTGAAAAAAATATTCTTGGGGGAATCTGCAACCAGACTGGATATTAAATAATGTTTGAAATTACAGTTAATTTTCTTAGGTTCAAGAATGGTACTACGATTTATATATAACATTCTTACTCTTGTGAGATTCGCGAGATTAGGATGGCGTCCGCGCTAGTCTGCAGTGGTGTCACAGGAGAGTGGGCTGAAGTTTCAGGACTACAGTGCCTGATACCTGCAATGTACCTTCAAATGGTTCAGGAAAAATGCACACAGCCACAGGCGCACACACATTGGTTAAAGAAATGTGGCAAAACGTTAAAAAGGGTTGGATCTAAGTGGAGGGCATCTGGGTGTTCATTGTGTTACTCTTTCCAATCTTTTGTATGTTAGAAAATTTCATAATAAAAACTTGGAAAAAGGTTTTCATTTAATTGGAAAGGCTATTAAAAAATTAAACCTCTGAGAACAGAACACCCCATTATTCTCTTTAAAAAAAAATAGCTGAGCCAGGGGAGCCCTACAATGCATAATGGGACTAAGGGAGCCATTAGCTAATTGAGTGACAGACTGGAGCGTAGAGGGGAGGCTGAAAGGAGCAAGTGTGGCTGGAAAACATATACTGGAATCTTAGCTATAAATAGCAGTGCAAGCCACCTTGCCTCGGGGCCCTCGGGTTTCACCACAGCCACGCTGACAACTCTACAAAGGGCCTTTCTCTTCAAGCATGTCTTCCTACTATACGGCCTTTTGAGGCACTGCTCAAAAATCAAGAAACCGATGAAAAAACAGGTGTAGTAGGTCGATTTCCTTAACTAGAATCAGATTTAGTACAGGAAGCTCACCAGCTACTCTCAGCCTCCTTGGCCCTGCTCTGTGGTCCAGCAGCTCACACCTACTATTCTAGTCGCGGAGACTCAACAAGAACAAAACAAAGAATCTGTGCTCCAGGCTGTTTATTTCTGGTTGGGAGAAATGGTCAATAAGCAATGGTTTTTTTAAAAGTAAATTGCATAATCTGTTAGGAGGTTACAAATGCAGTAGGAAAAATGAAATGAGGCAAGAGGATGGAGAGTGCCAGAGGTGGGAGGAGGGTGTGGAGTAGTGAGAAAGTCTCACTGGAAAGAAGACTACTGAGCAAAGACTACTTGGAGAAGGATGAGGCAGGGGAGCCATGTAGGTATCTGGAAGAAGAATATTCTAGGCAGAGAGAAGGAAGCACAGAGGCTCCAGGTGAGAGCATGCCTAGCAGGTGTGAGGAATGACAAGGAGATTGGTGTGGCTGGAGGGGATGAGGGAAGAGAAGAGCAAGAGATGAGGACACCCACTAACCAGAGCCCACAAGGAAGGTCTTGGAGCTCTAGCAAGGTCTGTGAGGTTTACTCTGAATGAGATCGGAGCCCACTACAGGGTTCTGATCAAGGAAAGGACATGACTCCCATTGTAACACAATCATTCCAGCTGCAGGAGGAGCAAGGGCTGAAGAAAAGACCAAGTAGGTCACTGCAATAGTCCAAGTAGAAGCAGATGGTGACTTGGGCCAAGGCGATGGCAGTGTCTTCTGGGAATAGGGTGCCTAAGGGAGACTCTACCTTGGCTTCCTTCCTAACACATATTAGTAAAGAGCCATGACCCCCACCAAGCACATCAGCCAGGCCCCACAGGCCCACCAGTCTCGTAGAATCAAAGCTTTGGGCGATCATAGGCAGGGGCTGAAAAAGAGCCAACTTAGAGCATGGATAGAGGAAGTCAGATTCAATTACAACCAAATGGAACATATATAATGAAAATATTCCGCTGGCGAGAAGCTTTAGTTCCACCAAGAAAGCCAAAGTCCTGAGCTCATGCTAACTTCAACAATCAGCAAACACACTTCTTCAGTTATGGGACTGTGCCCTTCTGTTCTGTTCTAAGTACCCACGGGTAACCAATACTTTGTAATGCTGCTTTATGGAGGTCAATAGACAGAGGTAGGGCTGGATATTAGGATCTAGGGGAAACAAATTTAGAAAATCTCAAGGACCATGCCAGAAGACTCCTTCAAAAGCTGGCATACTAAGAGACAAGCAG